GTGCTGGGGGGCAGTGGTTTGGGGTTGGGCAACGGGTTCAATGAGAGGGGCGGACGGGTGCGTAGAGAGGGGGCGGGGCTGGATGCCGGGTCGGTGCTGGGTGAAGGATGTGTGGCTTGGGCGGCGGGATTGGGGATGGCAGTGTGGTGGGTAATCGGCACTGCATGGCGGCGTGCACTTGAAGGGAGCATATGGGCCGCTTTGGTAAATGCATTTCCTTTTTGTGTGAGGCTGATGGGCAGGGGGGTGAGGTTGAGGGACCGGCGAGGCCCTGCAATCAAAATGATGCGACAACTTTGCTGCGCGCCCTCCTTTCAACCCCCTGATCCTACCCTGCCCTCTCCCCCTGCCCCACATTGCCTCTTCCAATCACCAAGAATCGCCCCCTTTCGCCAATCAAACTCCCTCCTCATCAGCTTCGTCCCCCCCCCCTTGATGACTCACCAATCCGTTTCGCAATTCTTTTGTAATCCGTCAGACGTCTACAGCGCAGAGGGGTACGTCCTGGCCGCCGCCATGGAGGTCCACGCCCGCATCATCAACGCCGGCCTCGACAAGGATGAATCGCAGCTTCCCCCCGGCTACCGCTTCTACTCGTCCATCCCCAAGGCGCCCCCGAACTGCAGCTGGCGGTGGGACATAGAGACGCAGCTGTGGGCGTCGTTCGACAAGGGCGGGGCCAAGTGCAGCGACCTGACTGATGGCTTGAAGTACGCGGTGGGAATTACCCACCTGCCCACGGGTGAGTCATTCCGCCCCTCCGTCCCCCAGGGGTGTCGCTTCCCGGGCCGGAACGCTCTCTCTTTGTGAATTTCCGTTCCCTGGGTTGTCATGGCTCCCTGGTCTGCCTCGGTCTGCGGCACTCGTAGTGGTGCAGCAGTGCTGGACTGCTCCCTGGCGTTCAGGCGCGCACACGTGCCCGCCGTCTCGGTGCTCGTCCTGACCTGGCCGTTCCGCCGGTCAGAGTGGCACCGCCGGTCAGGTCGGCGTGCAGGGGAACGTCACTGTACCCTTCTGCTCCAATCCGCGGTCCATTGTCACCCTGAAAGCACCCTGCCACTCACCCCGTCACCCCAAAGGCTGGGAGATTGGCTACAACCATTTCGTGGGCCGCCTCGGCATGAAGCTGCCGGAGACCGCCCGGCTGCTGGCAAGAAGCTGGCCGGACACCTACTCGTTCAGCTGGGGCCTGGGGACGCTGACTCATGCTGACAGCGCGTCGCAGCTCTGGAGGTCTGGGCTCAAGGCGTCCGCGCTCTGCAAGAAGAGCGCGGCGGGCTAGCATGCCCATGTGCGGAAACGCCTGGTGCGCAGGAGTGGGACTGGTGCTTGCACGGTCCAGGCACGGGCAACCGTATTCGTTTGTGATTCTTGTTTCTTCAAGTTGAGTCGGCCACGTCGCAGTAGGGCCAGCGGCGTGGGGCACCTGGCTTGACGCGCCGTCGCTTGCCGCGGCGGCCGGCCGGAGCGGGTAAGGCCGCGGCCGCCCCGGCGAACGGCGCCTGCCAGCGGGGGCCTCGTGGGCGGCCGCCAACGCCGCGGCTTCTTTGCGCGCCCGGTGCGCTCGTCTCTTTTGCCTGGAGCGCAGCAGGGCTGTCCCATTGACAGATGTGGACTCACTCCCAGCAGACATGGATTGGCCTCCACTTCAGGTTTGTTGATATTGTTGCTGCTCGAATACCTACTTTCAGGTTAAGGCCCCGTCCGTTTCATTCAAGAACAGGCAACCAGGTTAAGCTCACACAAATACTTTGAAGCTGAACGGCTCACAGCAACCGCCCCAATTTGTTGCCAACGGCATTTGTTTGCTGGCTGCCAGCCACTTCCCGTGTTCACGCACTTGAGCTATTTTCCCCAACTGCGCACCAACCTTTCCACGCAGCTCGCACGCAACACACGCCCATCAGACGCCGGCAGGCGTCCTTGAAGCCACCCCTGACACCGCATGCTCGCGTCATGGCCTGTGCCATGCGTGATGCCCACAACACACACCTGACACACAATTCGTCACGCACAGCATCCGGCGACGCCGAACGGCGTGCAAGCCGTTTTGCTGCTGATTCGCAAACTTTCTGTTGCCTTCCACCTGAGCAAGTGTAAATTTGGTTCTTGGAAATCGAGCTTTCACACTGCCGGCAAACACATGATATAGGAGCTCCCATGATGAGCTGCGGCGCGATAGGCGGGGCAGGTGTGCTCAGCTGCCAGTCAGAAGTGCGCCTGAGCAGCGCCGAGGGCATGGACACAGCGGCGCGTCACAAGCGCGCGCCGGGGCTCGACCAAGGTTGCCTCACAGCAGCAGTGCCGTTGCCGGTCATGTCACTGCTCCTGGGCAGGTGGCACAGCAGCTTCCGCACCCCGGGGCATTGCACGAGCCTGTGAGTTGCTTTGCACGGTCTTCGGCAGGCAATAAGTAACCACTTTTGCAGCACCCAATTAGCCAACGACGGAGTTCCTAGGAGCCCAGCCTCGCGAAGATCAGGCTTTCATGTAGGAAGGGGGAAGAGGCAGCCATGGAGAGTGCCAAGAGATCTGCTCAGCAGCGTTACAACGAGCTGCGCAGGTAAGCGTGGGACAGATGCGATCAAGGCGGGCTACTCACCTCGCCACGACCTGCCCTGAAAGCCGTGGCAGCATAAAACGAATGTTTGGATGTGTTCCAAGGCTCCTCAACCATTCTAGATAGCGCCTAGCTCCGATGCGGCAGCACTAGGCGCCACATGGGTGACGATGCATCATGACTTGCACAGCGAAAGCCAGCAAAGCGCGTACCCACGGCTGGCCCATGGACCGGGCCACTGCATTAGGTCAGTGCAACTCGTGACGCCGGACAATCGACACCACCACGGCTGAGCTCCTACCCGCAGCCCGCCCCTGGGCAACCCCACCCGCCCAAAACCGTGGACACGGCCAGCGACAAAAGCACCACCCCCCGCCATGCCTCGCCCGCCCGCCTTCGCCCCGGCGCGGCCCCGCCCAACCTCCCCCCAGGCGCCGCGTGCTGAAGGTCCCGGATGCGACCAAGCCGCTCTTCGTGGCGGCGGCGCAGTACAAGCCCAGCCGGTTCTCATGGGGAAAGCCCTGCCTGCTGGTGGTGACCGCCACGGCGGTCGTCCTATTGGATGTTCAGAACCAAGGGGAGCTGGAGGCGAAGGATGGGAGCCATGCGAGCATCCAGCTGGCGGTCAGGGCCAGCGAGGTGCGCTCGGGCGGCGGGCTTTCCTGCATGCGGGCGTACGCGTGCGCGCCGGCGCGGGCGCAGGCGCGAGAGTGGGCTCCCCTTCCTCCCTACACTCAGCTGCCGCCGCGTGTGGGGGCACGCGCCGCTGCATCGTAGCGCGGGCGAACTTGCACCGACGCATGCGGTCGCATGCGCTCGCGCTCCTTTGTTTGTTTTCACCCTCAGGTGTTCGACATGCTGCTGGCAGGCGGCAATGCGCTGCGGCTCGAATACAAGGGGCCGGGCACACTCAAGGCGCGCGGCGGCCTGGGACTAGGCAGATTGCTGTGATCTGGGAGCGGCGCCGCTGTCGAGGTTCTGGGGTTAGGGCTCCACACTTGCATAAATAGTGATGATCAGATCATCTTGACTGGGTCAGTACTGATGGATAGATTGATGAGGGTATGGATTGATGGAGACCTTTGCGGTTGAGGAGAGGTGAGTAGGGCGTGGCAGGTTTGAGGATCTCGGGGGCACCTGCCAAAACGACGCCGCAAACGCACTCGACAGCGGCACCCTCTGCTCCTGCGTTGCGCGACAGGTCAGCCCTGCTGTGTTTGGGTTCGGCACCTCCGCCCAGGCCGCGCCCTCGGCCCCCGCCGCCTTTTCCGCCGCCGCCGGCACCCGCTCCGCCGGCGGCGGCGGCGGCAGCGGCGGCCTCGGCCCCGCGGCGGCGGCGGCGCTCGACGCCGCTGTCTCATTCGCCACAGCCAGCGGCGGCGGGACCGGCGCGGCCGGCGGCGCCGGCGGCGGGGCTGGCGGGGGAGGCGAGGTGGTGCACTCGGAAGAGCACTGCACCCTCCAATTCGAAGACGCCGATGCTCTACGCGGCGCCGCCGCTGCGATCGCCTACGCGCGCGCCGCGGACGCCGACGCGTTGCGCTGGGTCGCGTGCGGGCTGCCGACGAGCTTTGCCATCGACCTCGTTTGCGCAGTCTTCGAG